TGGGCACCACTATCAACGGCTATAGCGCGAAACAAACTTTGAGAGGCAGTTCGGGTGCGCCGAAGGCACCGAGACAGACAGAGAGACGCGAGACGTATACACATATAGGTAGGTTTTGCGCTGTAATGCAGACTACATGGTAGTGTTCGCGGTCGCCAGCAGAAGATGAGGTATAATTTGTGGAGACGGACAAATGGAAGTGGGCTGGAAGGGGTGTGCCGAGGTAGGCGGGGAGGATTTAACACAAGAGAACAGAGAGACGGGGAGCGGGGGCAGAGGTGACCTTGGCGCTCCAGATCTGTGTGCCAGTAAAAGCAGACCAGCTCATCTTGACGGTTCGTTTTCTTCTGTCTTGGCGGTGTTGGTATTCGCGGCACCCGGTATTTCGGGCCATTTTTTGCTTGGTTTTTTTTTTTTCATTTCCGCTTCTTCTGGAAAATTATATTTTGATTTTGGATTCTGTACAAGTATTTTCTTGTGTGTGGTTTTATGTGTTGGTTTTTGGAAAATTATTTTGTTTGGAGGGAGGGAGCAGGTAACTGGAGGGCAATATGGGAAAGGCTTACATTAAGTGAATACTTTTGTAGATAAATGCGTGTGGTACTCTTGTTGGTGGTCGGTGGTGTGATGCGTTTTATCTTCCTTTCTTTGGATCTTTTGTTTTCTTTTCGGTGGCTTTTGGAAAGAATTTGGTGTTTTCAGAACATGAATTTTTTTAGATTTCTAAGGGGTGGTTGGTGTGTACCCGTCAACAAACTCTGAAGTTCCTCCGAGTGTGTATATAAGTTTTTAATTTAATGTTTTTTAATGGCGTGATTGAAGTCGTTATTCCTTTTTTTTTTTTTTATTTTGTTTTGGCTGGGAATTGGAGAGCGAAAGTGATGTCTTTAGCAGTTTATTCTTCGTTTAAAGTTGCGAAAAAAGATGGAAATGGTTCCAGAGTATGCATTTTCTGTGTTGAATTACTTAGTTTGATATCTTATTAATTCATTTAAATTTTTCTGGTTGTTTGTTTGTTTCTTTTGTCTTGGTTGACTTTTGTAACTACAATTTCGATGCTAATCATCCCTATTTTGTGGAAATAAAATGTAAGACTAGCTCTGACTGGCCAATTCTTTCTTTTTGCTTGCTAGTTTCCAGAAAGTTAGACAGACTGTTGTTGTTTCGCTATCAGTTTTGGGCTCCTCAAAAGTAGTCTCTTTGGCTACCAATTTATAAATGTTCAGCGATCGAAGCTGTGGAGTCACTTCCACCTGCTCTTACCTCCTTCCCTCGCCAGTCTATTCTAGTCTTCCGTTCTTGTTTGCTGTCAGCCAACCATCGGAGTAATCAGCTTTTTCGTTTAATTTTTCTCATTTTCAGCTTTTGAGAGTGGCAATAAATGGCATATTAGAGCTGTGGTGTGAATACCGGCTAAAAATCATTGTGAAGTGCGAACTAAAGATAACTGATGAAAAATGATTCAGCGCAGGGCCTTCTGTTTTCAATATTTTCTTGTCAATTTTTCCCTGTATTTTTATTTTATTTTTTGAAACATCTAAAAGCGCAGAAGTAGATCACCAGGAGTACCACCAACTTATGTGATATGTGTTAGTTTTGACGGCTTAGTATTTGTCTATTGCTGTTGTGCAATGGTTCTTTGATTTGTCGAAGGTTATCAAATCAAATCAGTGGTTGACCAGTTAATTTACAGAATCTAAAACTGTGATCGCAGTAAATTGTCGCTTTCTGCTGCGTTTATTGCGGCTTCTATTGGGCACTCACTAGATGCACATTCTTTGCTTAGCGTTCCGGTATTCTAAGTCGAAGAATTTCTTTTTCCAACAGTTCGTAGTCCCATAGGCTGTGTAACTCTTCAGAAAGTTTTTTATTATTTGCTGCTTCGTAAGAGTCTTGCTGGCGACTAGTTTCTTTCTTGCCGACCTGTTGTTTTAAGCTATTGTTTAATTTAGACAATATTTTTTACCCTTTACCAGTAAAGATTCATGTGTTTGAAACTGGAACTTCGTTTAGCAAAAATGGTCAGTTCTATATTTATAATCCGTTAATTTTCTGATTCTTTTTTATCTTTTCAGATCACTCTTAGCATCCTGATTTGGGAGACTAATAAATTACATTTTTTAGTTTTCCAATTTTCGGTTTTAAAACTGTCTAGTGGAGTTTGTAGTGTACACCAACAGGGAAGCCCATTGACCGTTTGGCAGTGAGTAAGATTCATATTGGTCTTATTCTGGTGTAAAAGACCAGATTTTGGCACAAAAAAATGAGTGGTGTCCGAAGCCTAACTTGTTATACCTTACTCAGGGTCTTCCATTGCAGTTACGTGTGAATTAATTTTGGGCATTGGGGATCCTTTTTCTTCCGTCATCATTTCAACCGAGTAGAACTGTTTGTTGTGTGGATCAGTTTCAACTGTGCCTGTTTTGGCATAAAAATTACTGGTGTTTTTTTTAGCAATGATAATTTTGGGCTCTCAGTTTTTCCAATTTTTTTCTCTTATAAAAAGTGCTATTTAATTTAAAAGTTTTCTTTCCAATTGTTCATCTATACTTGCTTCATCTTCTTAAAATGTGGCATTAAACGCAGAGAAATTTACATTTCGTTATATAAAGCTTTCTTGTGAGTTCTTCATTTTTTTCTAGTTATTACAGGTGTGCTTTGTATTGTTGTTAAACTATATTTGCGTTAATATTCCTCGATTGTGCTCTGAAATTTACTGACTAGTAATTCCGACTCCGTATGTGAACACGTGCTGTTCAAACTCAGCGTCCTCAAGTGATCTCAGTTACAGCTAAATTATTGCCATTAAACGGATTTGCTGAAACTGCTTCTTACACGAATATGGATCTTGCGAGCCCAACATCTATTATCCTTTGAGTGAGCGACTTTGTTGCTCACCGATATCAGGGATACATTCGTTGTTGTAACCATTTCAACACCGAATAAGTTGTACGGAGGACGTCCTATTTTTGCTTAAGTGCTCACTCTAAAATCGTTGGCATATCGTGGCCAGTGATATAGATGCCACTTTGTTAGGAGTATATTCCTTACAGAATTATTTCAAAAGGAAAAACGTCGGCGGAGGCATTTTTTGAGTTGTATCGCAGATGGCAAGAAGTCCTTCGAAAGGTGCGCTCAAAGGTAACCTTGACAGACATCGCACACGACGTACCTTTAAGCCATCGACTGTATGGGATCATTTCTTACGGTTAACTGACGGCAACGTTCAATGTATTCATTGTGCAAAGGTGTTAAAACGAAAGGATAGCTCGACAAAAACCATGTGGAGCCATCTTCGTGCGATACACTTTAAAGGTGGTGATAGTACTGTGGTACAGGCGACAGCAACGCTCACTCGTAATTCGCATTCGCCGGTTATCAAAACTTGTGATTTAAATTCTGTTATTGCGACGTCGGATTTGATTGTTAGTACACAAAGCTGGTTAAAAGAACAACTGGGTATACCAAATTCATCTACCACTTCTATGACTTTTTCGAGTGAGGACAAAACAGTTGAGGAAGGTGGAAAGGAAGAGTTTAAGAAAATCAATGAAACGCTTGGGGGAAGTTCGAGGACAACGGAGGGGCAACCAGCAGTGGAAGTAACTGAATCACGAGACGGAGGGGTAATGGTTTCAGTAAAATTTCCCCTTATTATCTTTTTATTTTCAGGCCTTGTATATTTCGTTGTTTGTTTGTATTTCGTTATTTTAAACAGTTTGCTTTAACCGTAAGTATTAATATCAGAGTTTTTTTCTATTTTTGTCGGTTAGGTTCTTGAATACTTTATTTTCATCAAGAATAAACATGGTAGACCTCCTGTGTGGTATGGCTGAATGAGTCTGTGGTTTTCATTTTGAAGGTAGACAAATTTCTTTCATTCTTGGCTTTCGATGATTACATTGAGACGATTTAGAGATATTTCTCATATTTTTAAAAATATTGAGGAAGAGGTCAGATTACTTCAGAATGTGTTGACATATAAAAAGCTTATGCATGTACGAAGAAAGAGGGCCAGTTTGCTTTTGTAGTTTATTACCGGTGATTTAATTATGGCATTGTTTTGATGTCCAGTTGCTAGTTTTTAAATGGGCAACTGTCGCTTAGTACATGTTTTTGCTTCCTATTAGGCCACCATTGTGACTGTAACGTGCAACTCTTAAAGGCCATACCACATTTGAACGGGGACTTGAAGGAAATGATTTGAAAGATCGAGTAATCTCTTATGGTGTAAATCAAGGGGGACGGTGGAGTAAAGTGAGAGTTTCCGAATAAAGGAGTGTCAAAGAGTTTGTGTTCAAGAATTACTTATAGGGAGAATTGGACCATTATTCGTTTAGTTGAACCTCATTTTAGAAGTTAATATGTAGAGGTATAGGAGCGATTCTCATGGTGCTTCTTGTCTTTGTTAGACGCAGGAAATAAAACAAAACTGTTTTAATGCTAGTTAGAACTTTCCCGGCGTGTAGTAAATTATTTAAGATGATTAAAACTTCGAGTTGAAGTTTCAGACGCCGACTCAGCCATACGTCAAAAGAAGTCACTGTGCCAACGGGATCTCAAATACCAGAGGAATTTCGGGTTATAGTCAATCAAGTAATGGGAAAAGTACACCAAGTAGCCCTATAGCTGTTCGAGCTCCGCTTACAAAACAGCAGCAAAAAGCAGAGGATGTTAGTTTGTTTTCACAGTTCTTTGTTCCAACTCTTTTTGTAGTACTGATAAATTTGGGAACAAACCGAACAAACCTTTGTTGTATGTAGAAACAGTTGCTCTTGATACCGTTTGTTTGTTTGAAAATAAAACAGCTTTTAGACAAAGTTTGCAAAATCTATTGCATATTTTTTTTCAGAATGAAACAATGAGTTTTTTGGCTTCTATTCCACGTGCTTCTGAGGTGATTAAAATAACAGCTCGATTTTCCGGTGATGGGTCCAACATGAGTGTAGCCAAGGAGGCTTTCGCAAATGTAGATGGAGTAGGTGTTTCCTCTGTATTCTGTTCTCAGTATTTCTTCTTGCTGACATTTGTTTAATAAATGGTATTTGTTTTGATTTTTTGGGCACTTGGAAAACTTTTCAAATTACGAATTCAGCGCAGTGGAGAAAAAGCCGACTCAAATGCACGCCAATCAGCACCGCCATCTTCAAGATCTCCATCAGTAACGTCTACAAATACTCACCTGCAGGCTCCTTTCCAATATTTACCCTCGAATCATATCTCTGCCCCATTTGGCTATTTGTCTGCGCCAAGCATTTTGCCTTCTAAGTTAGTTTTGTTACTCGATTCGTTTACATTATTCTTTGCCTAAAGAGGGCGGTTTCTTTTGCCCATAGTAGTTCAAAAACAGTCGGTCGTTCTTACTTATGCGCAGCTTTTGATTGGCGTAATATGGTACGCGTCGGCGTAGACAAGATTTGTTCTTCGGTTTATCACACTCTCTTTGTTTCAGATTATAAATTCTTCAGTGCAATTTCAGTGTAGACGCTTGCCAGATCAGTTTTTCGCTCGAAGACGCTGACTTTCTTTCTTTACTAGTGCAGGTTTCAAAGGATCTCGATTGCCGATTCACATTTGAGTGTCGTGACGCACCGCTGTTTTGCATTAAGCCGCAGATGTGTTCGGATAATGAGTCCAAGTATGTTACTGTTGTTCAGTTTATTTCTGCCTGTAAGAGGTGCGATGCGAAGGTGGAGCAATCCATCTGTTTATACTAAAGTTTCTTAAAGCGGCGGTTTACAGAGAGTTGGAATTGGTCTTTGTCGACTTGGGTAATGAAATCCGAGTTATTGAGCGTCTTAATGGGAATGATAGTGATACCGAGCTATGGCATAAAATGGATTTCTCTCAGTTCTCTTGGGCGGTCCGAGGTAAATGCCAGAAGTTTTTTTCAAAGTAGGTGTGTTGTTATAACCAAAGAATATTTTGGGTACTCTTTTAGCTAAATGGGCTCCTCACAGTAAATTGTTAGCTTGTAATGTAGATGCTGTCTGCTACAGGGTGAGGATCTATTTAATCATTCGTAGAATAAGAAACGGCTTAGGATTTCACCGTTCCTCCTGACTTTTTTTTTGCATTAGCAGTACTCTTTTGCTAAAGCTTTTTGCTTTATGCTTGAAAAAATTGCTAAATGAGTACTCCTAATGAAACTTATATGAGGTATTGATTGACCGACTGTTGGGCTTCTTTTTTAGTATTAGCATTTGTAAGTTTTAAAATTCACTTGTCTTTTATAGCTAGACTGCAACGGTCACTAAAATTTTTTAGTGTACTTTGGAACCACGTATGATAAGTGGAAGCGTGGAGCTTCATATTTTGCACGACCTCAGTAGGGTGCAACGGTATAGAAGTTACAGTCAGCATGTGAAAAAGGACCCTATTTAAAACTGTGAGTCTTCATGGCTAGGTTGGAGAATCACAGTTTCAACAAGATGCTAGCTAGTCTTTAATAATGTATGCTTCAGTATTTGAGAAGTTTTATCTAGCAATTGAGTTGAGAATTGTAAGGTGAAATTATCCGCACATTTGACTTACCAGGATTGGATTTCTATTTTTAAGCGGCGCTTGGAGTCAGCCCACTAAAAGAGTACCGTATTTTGTATACTTCGACCGAAATTGTGGTTCTTACTTGTACACAATCTCTTGCCCATTTTATTAGGTTCTTGTTGAGATTTATGGGGAGGTTGAACTCGCAACAGATTAGACTGTACTTATTTTTATTTTGTTTGTTTTTCATGTAGCAGTTGCTGGTAATTTCCCAGTGATGTGAATTTGATTATAATATGGCCGTCGGTGACAGCTTAAATCTGACTCCTGCGTTTCATTTTACTTCAGTTAGCAATCGTCAAAGAATATCATTTTGAGCAGCGAGTTTCTAGTTCATGTATTCCTAAAAAACTTGGTTGATCTCGAAATTTTAGCAGGTGCTGTCACTTTAAATGTCAGTTTCGTCCTACTTAACAGTATTATAAGAAATCGTACCCGTCTTACATTGTAAAATTTGTGATGGCTTTATAACTTTTCTTTTTTTTTTTTCTTTTTGCTATTGTGGCAGTAGTAATTGTTTTGTGGTCCTGCAGTCTTGATGCTCATTCCCGGCAATCACTTTATAAATCTCGTTCACTGTTGCATTGTCGTAACTTTTGCAGTTATAGTTTTTCTATCATTCCTTTTAAAACTGAGAGATGTGGTTTATGTCATACAACTTGTTCAAATTGTTCTTCCTCTGGAAGTGAAAAAAACTAGGAGAAATTTTTGCATTCCTTTGCGTTTCCATGGCAGAACGATTCACTCTTCCGCTACGAATAGTGCAGGTTTTTTTCGGTGTAATGAATTGGTGTTGGCTGACTGGTACTTCGATTGCTCAACTTTTTTAATAGACACTTTAGCTTCATCCCAGTCCCGTTATTAACAATGTTATTTATTGATTGCTGTTCCAAAATGGCCTAGGATAGTGTTTAGCTAAACTTGAAGTTATCGATCTACCAACTTTGAGGGCTAATTTGGCACCACGACACTAAAATTACAAACTGTTCGTGAGCTTACCGGAAGCTGTGTTCCCTGCTCAGCAGCCCTGATGCAGGTGAAAGTCGTCGGGGAAGCTGGTAGCGCAGGACTCAACTTCTCTTTATGACAACCCACTTCCATCGCTCTGTTTGCTGATATACTCACCTTATTTGGCACAATGTCAAGACACCGTAAATAAGGTTGCTCCATAAGTGGCCAGTAGCGAGGCGCTTTCTAACACCTTTACGCGAAGCCTGATTCTGCCATGCGCTGGTACTTGCTAAACAATTTAAGCAAGTTCATCTTCGGCCCCAAACTATCTTGAGTTCGAGAGAACCGCTCCTTGTCGTCCCTCCATAATGTGTCATGTTCGTAGGTTTACACCTGGTTGGCCTAATACAGTCTGTCCGTTCTTGTCATCTGTATATGGTTTATTAGATCAGGAATCGTCTCGCTTGTTTGGATTTTAACATTTCATTACTGCGCGTATCACTTTTTGCGGCACTTCAAAGGAACTAAAAATTCGCACTGAAGCTAATTGAATACTTTTTTATGCATTTTCTGTGTAATATGCGGATTTAGCGCTTGATACGTTCCTTTGCCTGTAAGTAAAAGTTTTCGTTAATTGATAACTCTACCTATAAACCAACCAGGTTTCTCCGCATCACATAGCGGTTCTGGTGGTTATTTCATGTGTTCGGTCTGCCAGATCATGTATGCAGAAGTGCTGGTGAGATGCTTCAGAAAATGCAACAGCTTTTGGTACTGACCCGACTAGATGGAACAGCGCATTTTCGGTTAAAACTACGAGTTGAAAGTGTTAGCCACCAGCTTTCTTTACGAGTGAACGTGATTTTGATTGCTTTTTGTATCCCAATTATGCGCTCCAGGTAACGTAAAAAATCCGCTATTCACTGCCACCATTAAATTAATGTCACGAAATGAGTCCTGAACAGAAACAAACTTTTTCATTGGCAGTTTAGAAAAAATCAGTAACGTACTCTTCACAATTATTACGTTTATCAAGCTCCAGTAGTCGATTTCAACGGGTTACGGGAAGTAGCAGGCCGATGAAGTTAAACATTTGATACCCCTAATTGTTAACAAGGGGGGACTCGCTTTAAATTGTTTTATTTTCGCCAGTAAAGGAACGATGCGCAATGATAATCAACTCCTTTCGATACAGCATCGATTTCAGTCTCATCCGATAATTCTGAAACTTTCGGAGAAAGATCACCTTCACACAGATGCACATACAAAGAATTTAAATTTGAGGATTAAGGCAGAATAAAAGAATAAAAACAAGTCCCTTCTTGTTAGCAAATAAATTGCCACATGCTTAACGCCAATATGCTGATGCTTACCGTAACTCGTCTGGATCGAATAATGGAGCTTAACGGATATCCATGAAAAATAAGTTAGAAACTTTTTGCTAATTGTCAATGAAAAGCTTTGCTTTTATGTAAGACCAACTTCATAACCCGAGCACATTGGTAGCAACAAATGGCACACTTTTTACGCTACTTGGAGGGATATATGATGTTGAAGAATAATTGGGGAAGAAAAACGGTCAAAAATCATGTCTATTCTTGAAAAGAAAACTACTTTCGGTACTTTAGGTTCGCAGTTTCAGTCAAGGAATGCGCTTCACCCTCTAATCAAACTAGTATCATAAGACAGTGCATTCCCTAAAAAATCTTAACACCCGCAACTTGAAAGACCGGAAATATGAAAAAGCTTTTAAGAACTGTCAAAGTATCAAGCAAAGAAGAAAATTCAAAAATCGTTTTGTCACCTTACGCAAATCCGCTTCACTTACAGTCAAAAACAAAATAAGCTGTAGAGCCGCACATTACACAGAAAAGACAGAAAAAAAAACCTTAGAGCAAAATCTAGCTCTACCTTATAAAGTAATGTGCACTATAGCAAGATGTCAAAATTTGGCTAAGCTACGGAAAATACCTACAAATATAGGCTTTTCACTTCCAAACTAACCCTGAAAACCACCAAAAGGATACATATGTCTGCCAGAACAATTTCAACTGATCGAATTCGAAGCTTGAAACGGATGTGGCTTTGGAGTGATTTTTAAGCAGTCAGGACTCCCATTCAGCTGGAATAAGTAACATGTAGGCCAGGAAAACGACAAGTTATCCTCAATCAAAGCAGTACCGTTCAACTGCTCGTTCTTAAACTTCTAACGACTGTACGGTCTCTGCAGAATAACAGTCTTCAGCACTTGAAAGTCGTTTCGGAGTCATGTTCGTAACAATCCACACTGAAACAATTGGAATTGTTCCAGTAGAAATGTGCATCTTCCTGGAGGGATTTTCGGGAGTAGTTTGGAAACGAAAAGGCCGATATATAGGAGAATTCATTTCTAATTTGGTGTGAAATTTTCTGGGAACGAATATCCTTTATCTTACAGAAGTTACAGGGACTTTGGCACAATGCCACTGCGTAATGCAAGACATCCGGAATGAACTCCGTAAAAGTATGCTAAACTTCTAGGTAACTTGTGTAAATGATGTGACAGCTATTGTTTATTGTTTGTCGGCACTTACAATTTCATGATTTAATTTCTATTTTGAGCCGAGATTTTAACCAAAATGTGAGAGTAATTTCAATTTTTACATATACTTTTTAACAGTGTTACTATAATAACTTTGTTAAGTG